TTGAAAAGATCAACCTGGAGAAATTAGATCGATTATAGGTTCGATTGCTATTCGATTAATGCAGCCCTATTTAAAAACTTTTCTGACCTCGAACCAACAATGCATTAGGAGGAACCCTTTTCTGACAATTTTTAAGGAAAAATGCACATACATTTATAGGCAGTGCATGTTTTCATGTTTTATTATTATTTACATTTTATGTAGCATTGGATTGGCAGTTCTGCTACTTGTGACATGTCTCATTCTGTCATATTCCAATGCCTTTCTGTCTATTAATTATGACAGTGATGGATGATGTATGGAAACAAGGTTGCCAAAGGCCAAAAACAATGTTATTTTCAAACATGCATATAATAACATTTTGTGTGTGTGTGTGAGAGGAGAATATAGAGCGTGTACTCTAGGTTGATGTCATTGTTTTGAATAGGATGCGGCAGCTGACTCAGACATTACTTTGCAAGGTCTCACCTCACTCACACAGACTACGAGACTGTTTTTATCTCATGGAAAATGAGATGAGAGGAAATAGAAGGTAGATCTGTTTCAGGAGATTTTTTTTTTAATAAACCGGACTCAAATCCCTTCTCAGATAAGTCTGGCCTGCTCCCCAGCTGTTTCCTCTTACTGGTTTCTCACACACAAAGTCAGCGGCTGCTCTCTGTATCTCCACACTTGGCTTAACCCTGTTTTGAGTGAGCTCACTTTACCACCCACTGTGTGTGTGTGTGTGTGTGTGTGTGTGTGTGTGTGTGTGTGTGTGTGTGTGTGTGTGTGTGTGTGTGTCCCATGTGCTTCTCTCTGTAATCACACGTGTGTTCCTTTAGCATGGGCCTTTAGGTTACGTTTATACTAGTGCAATGTAGTTTTGAAATGGTGTTTTAAAAATAAAAATATCTTGCTGGCATTTTCACTTAATTTCAGTGATTCTATTCACACTACATGAATGAAAATGGATGTCAGAAGCTATCAAATTATAGTAAACAATTGTAGACTATATTTCAGGGGTCACCAATCTCGGTCCTGGAGTGCCGGTGTCCCTGCATGGTTTAGCTCCAACATACCTCAACACACCTGGCTGGATGTTTCAAGTATATCTAGTAAGACCTTGATTAGCTTGTTCAGGTGTGTTTGATTAGGGTTGGAGCTAAAATCTGCAGGACACCGGCCCTCCAGGAACAAGTTTGGTGACCACTGCTATTTATAAATGAAATCAGTGGTATTAGTCTTATGGGCAGTGTGCCGATATGTAGCACAGCTTTGCTTCGAGTGTCCCGAGTTTGAATTTTGGCTCAAGGAGCTTTCCCAATCCCACCGCCCCCTTTCTCTCTCTCCAACTTAACTTAAATAATATAAAATAAATATAATTATTATTTAATATTACATTATATAATATCTTATATAATATAAGATAAATAAATAAATATGAACAACATTTTAATTGAGAGATGAAGAGTCAGTTTTATATGGCAGAAATCTCTTTAAATGTTCCCTTTGATTAATAATAATAATTCCTCACATTTATATAGTGCTTTTTCTGGACACTCAAAGCGCTTTACAAATTTTTGGGGCTATCTCTTCATCCACCACCAGTGTGCATTATCCACCTGGATGACACAATGGCAGCTATATTGCGCCAGACCTCACACCGCACACCCGCTGATTGGTGGAGAGGAGACGGAGTGATGAAGCCAATTATGATATAGCTATAGTTAGGAGGCCATGATGAGGTCAGTGGGCTCTTTTTCGAAGGACATCCTGGGATTTTTAATGACCACAGATAGTCAGTACCTCAGTTTACTGTCTCATCCGAAAGATGGCACTCACTGAGCAGTATAGAGTCCCCATCAATATACTGGGACGTTAGGACCCATACAGACAACATGTTAAGCGTTTACTGCTGATCTTTACTAACATCACTTCCGGCAGCAACCTAGCTTTCCCATGTGAACTCCCGTCCAGGTACTGACGGGGTCAGTAAAAAGAACTAGAGATGCAACGAACCCGATACCAGCGGCTGCACAGACGTGATGTTCGTCGCTTCGTAAAATTATTCTGTAATATTAAAAAAAGAAAAAACAGCACAGTATCGGGATCGGCTCTGTATCAGCCAATATTCAGAATTTTGGTTTCGGTTCGGTATCAAAAAAATGGTATCTGTGCATCCCTAAAAAAAGAACAAAAAAATCTAGAAAAATACAACATTAAATTTAAAAACAACATAGTCTTGTGTGTATGTATGTATATACACATATCATGAGAAAATGTTAAATTGTGTTTTCGTGTCTAGTCAATAGTGTTCCAGCATCCACATACAACACCTGGACAGATCCTACAACCATTTTCTTTGCATGTATGTTTGCTGGACTGCAGGCTGCTTTAATTTATTGGCAATGTTATGATAGATTATATGTTGCTATATTAATATTATTCTTCAGGCACAGTCTTAGACTTTTTCTCATTTTAACATGTTAACAACTCAAATTCTTTACATTCCTGCTTTATTTTTGATTATATGGAAGACCTTGAGGGTTTTGTAGAGTCGGACTTGGATGTTAATAATGCATTAGTAAATGTTCAATTATGGTTAATAAATGCTGTACAAGTGTTGTTCATGATTAGTTCATGTTAGGAAATGCATTAACTAATGAACCTTATTGTAAAGTGTTACCCTGTAAAAAAAATAATAAAAAGTTGGCTCAACTTAAAATTGTTAGGCAACTTGCAAACAGCTTATTTGAATTGGCTGAACTTTTAACCCAAGAGCTTTATTTGACAAATAGTCAACTAAAGTTCTTGGGTTAAAAGTTGAGTCAACTCAAAAAAGCTGTTTGCAAGCTGCCTTACAATTTTAAGTCAATTACAGTGAACAAAAATACACTCATGTAAACCCAGCCTTAATTTCCATCTTGAAAGCCTTGAAGGTATGTGGGTTTGTTCTTGAAACTTTGTCTTAGTAACTTGTTAGTCACCCAAAAGTGCTGTAGCAAGTCATTTGTCCCTTTTCTGAATCCACCCCTCATAAAACGATGACTCTTCCAAACTAAGTAGACTTAAGTTTTGCCGAGCCCATCAGGTGGTAAAGTGTTCAAGAGTCACTGTGTGTGTGTTCATTCATGAGTAAGCACGTGTGTGTTGACTTCCAGTAAAAGGCGAGTGTTAGATGAAGCTGATATGATGTTGAGAATATTCTTGCAATGTTTGAGTCTTTGTTACACACACTGAGTCATGTGTCACTGCATGTTTTCCCATGTCTGAGAGGAGACGGCTAAATGTGTTTGAGTAACACCGGGTGAGCAAGTGTGTGTGTTTTGTTGAGCAACAGGCCGTGGGTTTCCTCAAACTTTCGGGAAGTGACCTCACACTGCCTTAGGCAACAGAGGCAGTGATGTCATTGACAGGAAATGCCACTGATGCCGCTAGGCACAATAGCTGCTTGTGCTCTCAATGGGCAAAAACAGATAGCATATGTACAAAACTGTTCAAACACAAAGGGTGATCATATAGTGGGAAAATAAAGTTACATAAAGTAGGCGTTTTGTGGTGATTTTGATTTTATTGTATCAGTAAACATTATTTTTACTTTAATATTATAAATAATACTAATTATTATTATTATTATCATCATTATTACTACTACTGACGTAACATCCAACTCCCAAAAAATCTCAAACAAGATATCTTTATTTGTTCTTTAGGGCAGTAAGCAATATTAGATTGCTACAATTTGTTGTTGTTGTTTGTTGCTTACACCGTTTTAGGTAAATTTTATTACAGTAATTGTTAGTAGTTATATTAATGAACATGATTTTGCTATAAAATTAGTATTATTGTTCAACCTTTATATGCTCCAACTGAGCCAAATAATGAGAGAGAACCAAATCTCCTACCACAGCTATGCTGATGACACTCAGATCTACTGCCTTACTGCCTGATGACTTCAGCCCCATTGACACTCTCTACCAATGCATTGATCAACAGTTGGATGTGCCAAAGCTTTCTTCAGTTAAACAAAGAGAAAACTAAAGTCATTGCATTTGGTAACAGAGATGAGGTTCTCAAGGTGAATGCGTACCTTGGCTTTAAAGGTCAAACAACAAAAAATAAGGTAAAGAATCTGGGTGTGAACTATCATTGAACTATCATTACTTGTCTATAAATCACTAAATGGCCTAGGACCTCAATACATTACAGACATGCTCACTGATCACTCAGATCTTTAGGATCAAATAAATTAGAAATTCCAAGAGTTCAGTCAAAGCAGGGTGAATCCGCCTTCAGCTACTGCGCCCCCTGCTGCTCGAATCAGCTTTCAGAAATGATCAGATGTGCTCCAACATTAGGCACATTCAATTTAAGACTGAAAACACATCTGTTTAGCTGTGCCTTTTCTGAATGAGTACTGTGCTACGTCTGACAGACCACATTATTATGTCGTTCTTTTCTGTTCCATTCTTTTATAAGCTATTTGAACACATTTTAATCAGTTTTTATATTTTAATTTTTTTTTATTCTTGTCTCTTTTATTCCTGTTTATGTAAAGCACTTTGAATTGCCACTGTGTATGAAATGTGCTATATAAATAAACTTGCCTTGTGTTAGTTGCTTGTAATTATGTATAATGTAGTGTTATTAGTAAGTACATTTGTATTGCTATTGCCACAGTGATCAATATTTGGTTATTATAATTATATTATGTAATATATTGTGAATTATGTTATGGTTAGGATTTTATTAACAAGTTAATATTTAATTAACCCATGTGGAAATATTGAGCACATTTGTTTAAGCGGCTTTTAATCTAAAGAAATCACTCAGAAAATATAGTCCATTTATCTTTTTTCAAATCAAATCAAGAGTCTGACGTCTAAAGTTGTATTTGAACATGTTTTTACTGCATTAAAATGCTGCAGTGTCATGATGCTTAAGCGGTGAAGTAGTTAAATTGTGTGGGGTTTGCAAATATGAAATAAATGATTAATCTAATGTGTTTTGCCCTTCAGACGGAGGATTCTCCGAGTCCGAAGAGACAGCGTCTTTCCCAGCAGTCAGTTCTGGAGTTTACCTCTGCGCCTCCATCCACACCCTCTCCACCCATCAGACCATGGGAGCTTCCGCCCAGTCGCAGGCCACACCCCTATCCACATCCACACTACCATCCCGAACGCTGCCACACACCTGCACGACACAGACGCAGGTATGCTCTGTGACTTTACAGTGGCAATACAAATAATGGGAAAGACATGTAGAAGCGTTGAATTTAATAAATCAAGCCTGTTTTTATTTTCTATTATATAATTGAATATCAAAAGACATTTAATTCAACAAATTAATACATTATTATGTATGTTTGGTTATATATCATTACAGTCTGAGATATTTCTAAACTTTTTTTATATAATTAGAAATGCAGTATTATTATATATTATTAATCTATGAAAATGCCTTTTTTAAAATAATGTCTGCATTCATTTTGCGCAGACATTTAGATAATTTACATGATTTTATATATATAAATATATATATATATATATATATATATATATATATATATATATATATATATATATATATATATATGTGTGTTTTTATTGTATTATATTATTTTGTATTATATAAATCTCCTAGGTCTTTTTGTTTATAATATATACAGTTGAAGACTTATTAATAAGATTTATTAGCCCTCTTGAATTATTAGCCAACTGTTTTTTATTTTCCCCAGTTTCTGTTTAAAAAAGACTTTTTCAAATCGAAGCTTAATATTTTTAATAACTCTTTTCTTCTAACTGTTTTGTTTTATCTTTGTCATGATGACACTAAATAATATTTTACTAGATAATTCTCAAGACACTTATATACAGCTTAAAGTGGCATTTATAGGTTAACTAGGCAAGTCAGGGTAATTAGGCAAGTCATTGTGTAGCAATTGTTTGTTCTGTAGACAACAACAAAAAATTGCTCCAGGGGAACCTTAAAATGGTTTCAAAACTATTTAAAACAGCTTTTATTCTAGCTAAAATAAAACAGATAAGTCTTTCGCCAGAAGAAAAGATATTATAGGAAATACTGTGAATAATTCCTTGCTCTGTTAAACATCATTTGGGAAACATTTAAATAGGAAATTCTAATAATTTTGACTTCAACTGTAAATATTGCATTTAATGAAGGCTTTTTTAAAAAACTTTTATATAAATAAGCATATTGTGTAGACATTATATTATATAAATCTCTGTTTTAAATAACCGTGTCTTTCTCTTGTTCAGTCCTCCAGTGCGGCGTCAGCGTGGCCGTCGAGACCGTCTGTCAAGGCACCATCCCCCTCACGGTTCACCAGGTGGGGGGCAGGATGAAAACTACCGCCACCCTCCTCACCCGCATTCTCTTCATCCCTACGGCCAGCCTCCATCCCACCCTCCACCCGGTCTTGATGAGCCCCGGGCCTTCCACCCCCCCACGCTCTCCCCACGACTACTCCACCCGCCGCAGCAGGGCGCCATGGTCATGGACCTCCACGAGCAGGTTAGAGGCTCTCTGTGGGCTCATAACAGGGGCCAGAGGTGCCCTATTGTGGTTTTGAGTTAACAAGATTAAACCGATTGATAATATAAATCAACTTTTTCAGTTTGTGCGTCACGCATTAGTCAAATTTTACAATGTTTATATTGCTAGCAAACATTTGTGTTCTCTAGGTGAACAATTAATCCATTCATGTTGATCTAGTGAAAAAAATGTTTGTTTTGGTAATCTTTAATCAAAGTCTGATAATTTTCCACCGTGTTTGGCATGGCGGTTCTTCTATGATGTCATCAGTTTGATGTGTTCTTCACAGTGTTGCCAGATTGGATGGTTTCCACCCAGTTTTTGCGGTTTTGATTTTGTGCGGGTAAAGGTGGGTGGGTTGACAAAATTTGGACTCGGTTTTGAAGAGTAAATCTTATTGAACAAAACATAACTGTGTGCTCCTACTCCATTCAGTTAGTAGTGACCAGTGTATAGCACAAACCGCATGGGCCCATCTGCAAAAGGAGGTGGAGAAAAGTTGTATCAAAATCAGACTCCCGGACAAATCTGACTCCCCATCACGCAGTGCCTGCAGTTAAACTCACATTGGTTTATCATGACGCTTTTATCAATATTTTTTTTTTCAGCAATTGACAACAAAGCGTTGTCTGATTGACAAGCAGCACTTAATTATTTTCAAAAGAATTTAAAACACCATATGGGATGATTTTTTTTTACCCCATTTCAAAAGTAAAACATCCTATAATACTGTGTGAAATGAGAGGGGTGCAGTGTTTTGATGTGATCTGTTTATGTTGTGGTTCTGTCACTGCTGGTGTTGGTTGCTGTATGGTTAAAAATGTATAAATCTGGCAACACTGATTCTCCCATAATATTCATAACACCTTTCTTACCGTTATTATGCACAAATTATGCACAAATCATTATTTCACTTCAGTTACATCAACATCCTGAAATAAGTTTCAGCAACTTCTGGTTCATGCAGACTTTGAAGTGGGCATTAACTGGGAGATCTAAATTTCCTTCATCGTTCTTTTGCATATGAGAAGTTATTGTACAAAAAAAAATATCCTTTAAGTTTCAGAACTCAAAACTTCTGAAACAAGTCTGAAAGTGGCTTATATCAAAGCCATTTGGACATTATGGTAGGCTGTAGAATGCGACACTTATTACACAACTTTGTGAATGAACCACCTTCTTATACATTACTACTTGTTTAACTCCGCCCATTGATTTGCATATGCAGCAGGTAAATAACAAGAGATCCAAACACAGGTTTATGCATATACCAAACAATAAAATGCCATGCCTTCCTGTGGAATAACAGTTCTGACCAAACATTAGGAAAGAGGGACAAACTCTTTATTTGTTCACTTTATTTTAATATTGAATTTGTTTTCAAACAAGGCACAATTTGACTCTGCATTTTCAGAAATATAATGCTATGTTGACTTTATTGGATCTAACAGTAAGGCTGCACCGCACAAGTATACCTATTTGTAGTATGTTCACTACTACTTTGTCAGATTATAGTATTTAAGTGTTTTTAACTAGTAGAGTCCATCTTTAAGGGATATACGCGCTCAAACATATATGTAGAAGTGGACACAGCTGTCCATTCAAACTGTAGGACCTAATTTAATTTAAAAATTATTATCAATTTAAATATGCTAAAATGTTAGCCAATCATAGTAGTTGGCATTTACCTCAGAGTTTGTAATCGGTCATGCCTTTTTAGATGGTGTGTTCTGATGAGAGGGATCAAATAAGGGCAGGGGATCAAATATTTTACATTTTAAATATATTGACATTAAAAAGGAAAGTTTATGACCATTTAACACTCAATCAAACACATTTAACCTAATCATTTTATTTATGTCTTGTTTTTTTTTTTTTTTTTTTTTTTATGTGTTAGCTTCCTCAGGGTACGGTGCCAGTCTCGTATACAGTTTCTCCAGTACCGCCCCATGGTCTGCCTGCTCCTCTCTGTACGGGACAGCATCTCCCAGCATGCTCTTCCCAACAGCAGGTGCCTGCCTGTTCTGTGGTGTTCAGCGGACAGCAACACTATCCAATCTGCAGCGTACCGCCTCCGGTAAGTACATACTAGAGTGTGAAGAGGCGTAGCATTAATTGGTTTTTGCGAGCGCATGTGGTATGTTTGGATCTGCTGCTCTCTAGTGGTAGAAAGTTGTTAAATATATATTTTTAATGGGACTGTACACCCAAGAATAGACATTTGCACCCATTTACTCACCTTATAGTGAGATATTTTGAAGAATGTTGAAAACCATAGACATCCATAGTCAGACATGTACTTGTATTTATTTATATAACAGTATTGACTACTTTTTAAAACTAAAAATATTTTAAAAATAAAAAATAGAGGTTTGAAAGTCTTTTTTAAGGGGTGCACAGTTGTTTGTGATGGTCTGAAATGTTTTAATAAGTGTTTGTGTTTGAAATGCAGATGTTGCCGGCCTGCTCGGTGCAGCATTTGCCAGTGCCGTACGCATTCCCCTCTCTTCTATCCAGTGATCCACCCTTCCTGCTTCATCCTCCACATCTGTCGCCACACCTTCCTACTCCGGGACAGTTCTTACCCTTCCAAGCGCAACAGTCCCGATCTGTGAGCATTATATGTTTTTGTAAAATAGCATTCAAATATTGTTTTTATTATTGTTATTATTCATTTATACATTATACATTTTTACATTTATACTGAGCAAAGCTGTGTTTTTGTCTCATTTATTATCATTTAAAATAGTGTTGTTTTTTTTTGGTTTTTGTTTTTCATTTTAAGCTACATAATATTTGCTACTGTGACCCTGTGGGGATTTTTACAGTTTTAACCCAAAAGTGACCAGTCTGTCAGATGAAGAAGACCTGCAGTCAGATATTCAATCAAAAAGAAAGTTTACTGAAGATAGTTTGCAGTATCATCAGCATAAGCCAACTTCAACACTTGCAAATGAGTTCGTAGGCCGCTCTGCTTACAATCTCAAAGCATCAACAACTATACTCCTACATGACATCATTAACTATGTCATACAGTACATATAGGTGTTTTAATGGGATGGGTAAAACACAGATAGATGTGGAAAATTTCCATGTGCGTGTATACAGTATCTCAATATCCTAAGCTTACAAACGTCAGACAGCCACTTCAGAGCTGATCCCAGACCTGTGAAATGATCCAAAAATGAATAGATTACACACACAAAGTACAATTCGTTTCTTACTTAAGGCTGAGTGTACTCTCAGCAGTCTTATCAAAACTGGTATAATCTACATTCAAACTGGCAGCTTGCATACAAAGGAATTGACTTTTATTAACACATAAAATGGCAGAGAACACAGGAAACAGTTGTTTCCAATTCTTCAAGTGTCCAGGTCTCAATGACCTCTGACCTGGCTTGGTAGATCTTGAGGAAATGAATCATTTGGCATACAGAAAAGCAATCACACACACACATTATTATTCCAGTTTTATTTTGAAGTGGCATGACATTAAGGTCATCATATAATCTAGGCCAGGCATGTGCAAACTCGGTTCTGGAGGGCCGGTGTCCTGCAAAGTTTTGTTCCAACCCCAATCAGACACACCTGGGGTAGCTAATCAAGCTCCTACTAGGCTTTCTAGAAACATCCTTGTAGGTGTGTCGAGGCAAATTAGAGTTCAAATCTGCAGGACACCGGCCCCCCAGGACTGAGTTTGGACATCAGGGCCTTAAACTTTCAACTTTATTAATAATCATAAAGACATAAGAAAATACATGTGATACTCCATCCTGAAACAGACATCCTTTAGAAAATTCACGCCATCAACCCAAAGTTAAGTTTTCAGCTTTCAAAGCTGAAACGTACAGCTAAAACTTTATTTCTCATGAATTCTGAAAACTTTTTAGAATTTTTATTTTATTCTATTTTTTTTTTTTTGATAAACATAAATAATTTGTCTACATTTTCTTGGAGTTGGAGTCAACTTTTTTTACAGTATAAACCTTTAATGTTACTTTTGGCTTTACTGGATATTTTTATTTTTTGTAAATGTCATTTATAAACTATACTATTATTTTAATATGTGATTTTTTTTTTTTTTTTTTTGGTACTATAGAAGCAATATCAAATGAAAAAGTATTTGAGCAGCTATTAAGTGTTATTGTTATGTTAGCTATTGAACAATTGAATATTTGTGTTTCTGTGTTTTTAATATTAAACTTCTGCTGCACTATAAGAAAACCAAATGCATATGCCAACAAACTAAAAGACTAATTATGTGTTTTGTTTTTTAATTAATAATAGCCATTGCAGAGGATAGAAAATGAAGTGGAGTTGTTGGGGGATCACCTGTCGGTAGGCGGAGGGTTTAACTATCCTCATTCAGGCCATCCTAGTCCTCTGCCCCCTTCCACCCCATTGCAGTTCCTCTCCCATGAACCCCTGCACCAGGAGCTGTTTGGAATGGTGAGTGACCTTCACCCTTCATCTCTTCTGCTCAATACAATCCAAACAAGTTAATGAATCTTGTGTTTTTCTGTGCGTTCTGTCCAGCCGTATCCTCACTTCATGCCACGGCGAATCACAGGCAGACGCTACCGCTCTCAGCAGGCCGTACCGCCACCTCCTTACCACCCTAGTCTGCTGCCCTACTTCCTGTGAGTTACACATACTCGCCTACACCAGAGCTTTGTGCTTAGTGATGTATTAAAGGCGCATTATGATTTATTTTATTTTTTCAAAACAAACCAATCAGCCACAATACAGATTTCATATTTTTCTTCCCACATTTTTCAAGTATTAAAAAAAATAAAATGAAAGTGGAATTTGTAATTTCAAAATATAAGATAAAACATGCATTTCACAAAGCTAAAGTCAGTCATTAATAAGCTAATTAGACAATTTCTGTTGTTTTTTTTATACTGATATTTTACAAATAATAATAGAAAATGAAATTAGATTTGTTTCATTTCAAAATATGAAGTAAAATGTAATGATTTTTTTCAAGTATTAAAAATAATAAAATGAAAGTAGAATTTGTAATTTCAAAATATAAGATAAAACATGCATTTCACAAAGCTAAAGTCAGTCATTAATAAGCTAATTAGACAATTTCTGTTGTTTTTTTATACTGATATTTTACAAATAATAATAGAAAATGAAATTAGATTTGTATCATTTCAAAATATGAAGTAAAATGTAATGATTTATGAAAAATGTATCAATTTTATGAAAAATGTATCAATTCTGATACCCATTTTTGAATGTATATTTATATTATTTTTATTATTTGAATTCTCTTTATTCCAGACACTAGGTCCAATAGTACAAAAGACAAACAAACAAAATAATACAAACCACACAATATACCTTAAAAACAGGTATGCCAATGTTTCATTAAAGGTGATTGAAAACGCACCTCAGTAAGCCTGGGATTTATCAATAACTTTAAAATGCCCATCTCCAACCGTATAACATATAAACTTATAGATCAAATTTCTCATCAAAGAAAAAAATGATCGAACTCCTATATTACAAAATAATTGTCTTGCTCTACACCTTCTATGTTTTTTTTAAGAAGAATCCTTAAACAATCATTGTATGCAATCTGCAGCTTATGGAGACTCTCTTTTTTTAAAATGATACCACACTGTGTATTACTGTGTATAAAGAACTGCAATAACTTCTACAGAGCCTCAACCTGCTCCAAACACAAATAAAACTTTCTCACTAGCATATTTGCTTGAACATATAACGTTCAATGTTCCCTGTACATATCATTATCATCACTCATGTCTTCAGTGATGACATACTCAAAATATTTAACCGTTCACTAACATTTAAAACTTGCCCTGACTAAAAGAAAAAATCTGGAAAAATCATATCAGTTCAAATTTCATATTAAAATTGTATCAGTTTTTGTGCCAGCAGAGGGTCTACTGACCATCTCTGTACACACAGCTCTGTGGTTTAGGAAAGGCTTACCTCTCCACACTAGTCATCTCAGTTCCCAGTGAAAGACCGCAGCTTATGCTAGAAAACATAGATATGCTGATATTTCTTTTTAAAAATATAATATCCCAGCATAATCACAGTTTTAGTTTGTTTATATTAATTTGCTATTAAAATTGCAGTTTACCTATGGCAGAAAATGTATTATTTTGCAAAAAAATGTGCAGCATTTTAGAAAAAAGCTTTTCACCTTAAAATCGTGACTAAATCGTAAGATTAGTATCGTGAATCGCGAGTCAGGTGAATTGTTACATCGCTAGGATCTATTTTATTTTCATTTTATTTCAAGCCTTCCGTGGACAGGTGTTGAGAATTAGCAAGTCTGCTAAAACACTTAAACAAATGCATTTGATTGTCCAGTGTAATTGTGATGCCCATGTCAAGATAAATTAGTAAATATACAATAAAATACATAAATAAATTCATAAACATAAATATAAAGTACAAACAATAACTCAAGCATTGTGAAATTGTGCTACATAAAGCATACCTGTACAAATTAATAGTAAATAAAAAGCTAAAAGCAAATGCAAATGTACTCTCTTTCAGTAGGTTGTGTATATAAAACTTTTCCAGTTGTGTTTTTGACACAGTTTTTTATTTATTTATCTTTATTTTTGTTTTTTTGGTTGGTCAGATCTGTTCTTCCAGTCCAGCCAACAGCAGTGGGTCCCGCCATTAGCCTAGAGCTGGATGTAGATGATGGAGAGGTTGAGAATTATGAGGTGAGAGGCTATAATCATTTCAGGAGACTGTTCTTAATGATATGTTTAAAGACCAATCCCCTACTGGGTCTTACATACGTTTGTTCTTGTGTTCCACTAGGCTCTGTTAAACCTGGCCGAGCGTCTTGGAGAAGCCAAGCCTAGAGGTTTGACAAAAGCCGATATCGAACAGCTGCCTTCCTACAGATTCAACCCCAGCAACCATCAGTCTGAGCAGACTTTGTGAGTGTAACACACCATTACTGCAAACTAATTAGTATTTGAGTCTTTTGTGACCTTAAGAATTGAGAGACTACAAATAATTACAATTTAAAAAATCTGCATTTGATTCTGTTGCTAATGGTTGATTATTGTCAAACTTGTAAAACCACTAACAGAGTTGACATTTTCCATCATTTTCTGCTTTAGCTCAAGATGCTAACCTCAAAGCAGATACCACATGGCATGTCTAAAACAGAATTGTATATACTTATAGATGTTCACCACAACAGAGTTGATATAAGTAATCTTCTATTGGTTTTGTACAATTTAATGAGAAGAATACTGACATGCCTCAAGGCCTTCCAGAGTTTCCCGCCAGAGGAAGTGACATCACTGCAGCAAGTCGCATGCTTTTTCTATCAGTGCTTTAAAGATTGCTTTGTCTTTTGAAAACTGATGTAACAGAGTTGACCTGAAATGAGGGACTGACACGTTTCTATTTATTTATTTATTTATTTATTTATTTATTCATTCATTTATTTATTTATTTATTTATTTATTTATTTATTTATTTATTTATTTATTTATTTATTTATCAAAATGACGAACAATACAGACAGTATATGCTTTATGCTAATGTTTAACTTCGTAAACACAAAAAAGATAATTAATTAGACTGATTTTACATTGAATGTAAGCTTGAATGTGTGATTTAGGAGGCAGAGACAGTCAGAAATGGGTATTAGTGGGGGTCTTTAATGTCCCTGAATGCACATTAAACGTTATTTTTAGATTTTACTTGATATACTTTGTGTTGTTATTAAAAATGGTTCAAAGTTTTTGTTTTATCCAGGAACATTTACCCACAATTGTAGAATCATACATAGTATACATTAAATATACATTTCTATTTTCTATTTATTTATTTTATTTTTCATTTTAATGCATTTTAACTATTTTAATGTTGGAAATATTAAACCTTTTCTCTCTTTTTTCCCCCCTGCAGGTGTGTAGTGTGCATGTGTGATTTCGAGTCTCGTCAGCTGTTGAGAGTACTGCCCTGTAATCACGAATTCCATGCCAAGTGTGTCGATAAATGGCTTAAGGTAAGCAAGCAGATTAAATAAGTCAATTATTATTATTTAAACTGAGCATTAATGTAGTGGTGGTACTGTATACCCATTTATATCAGTGCTTCTTAACACAGCCCTGATATCCAAAGCAGTATTGATAGATAAATCTAACGTTTTGTAAACTAAAATTAAGAGTATAGATGTACAAAATGAACCCCAATGCATTTATTAATTCAGACATTTCAAAAGCTTCTCATATATATATATGTATGTGTGTACATCTGTGTTGTGTGTGTGTGTGTGTGTGTATATATATATATTATAGGTGGGCAAAGATAATTTTTTTTTTATTTAGATTAATCTTGCAAATAATCTAGATCATTAGAAATCTGACAAAGGCATTCAAAATATGTGTGCTACCCAAATAATTACTAAAAGTAAGTCTGGTTTCTAAAGCCAGGTGGCGCGTTAGACCAGGGGCTCATCTCCTGTTTCCAAAATGCATCACAAACTGCTTGAGAAACTTTTCTACTATGATAGTTGGTAATAAAAGTAAATTATGTTCAAAAAGATGTACTTGTGTTTACTAACTGTTAATTCAGTTAAACTTGAATTTTGAACTGTCGGCCTACATAAGCTCAAAACAATAATTTTTGATTGCCTTAATCCGACTGGTCATAACTGAACCAAACAGAAATGGAATTAAGATGTGGAATATGCATATATTAGGACTTTTCGCCATATTTTCTGACAAGATCCACACACGCAGCTGTCAGTAAAGGACCACACACACACATTGCAAAATGCTGAAGTTTTTTTCTTTCCATTTGGTGTGTGTTATTAAATTCCATAACACTCTCACCAGTCCTTACTCCTTATTTGCGTCTAATACCCCAGTTTGTCACGGGGGTATGAATTAAATGTTCATGAGTGAATGTAAAACTGCTGAACTGCAGTTAAAGTTACCCAAAATTACAGGCAACTCTTACATGAAAGCACTTCACGTAACACTTTAATTATATTATTGTCTATTAAGGCAAATAACTAGACTACAGATGTCCATGTAAACATAGTCAGTCGTGTCTTCGAAGTAAGTGAAAGATCCAGAAGGGCATCCTGCTGATTTGATTCAGAAGAACAGTTTTTTGTCAGACGGCTCACCAGTCAGGTATACATCCGCGTTAAAATATTAAGGTGAAAGTCATCATAGGTTGCGTACAATAGACCCAGCTCCCAACCTAACTTTGAGAATAGATTAACGGCAATATTTTTTTTATCACGCGATAAGAGTCTTGCATTAACGCAGAACGGTAACACCGATAACAACTCACCACTAATATATATATATATATATATATATATATATATATATATATATATATATATATATATATATATATATGTGTGTGTGTGTGTGTGTGTGTGTATATATGTGTGTGTATATGTATATATGTGTGTGTGTGTGTATATATATACGTGTGTATATGTGTATATATGTATATGTATATATATATGTATGTATGTATATATGATTAAAATATAATTATTGACTAGAATTTTGCGTTATAGGGCTTAAATTATAGAGAGAAATAACAGATGAACCAGTGTTGTGCCTAGCAATTGCACCCCTCTGAAATGTACTTATATTAACCTAATTTGATTTTTTTTTAAATAACAGAATTATAAGAACTAATGACAGTGATTGAAGTGAGTGGAACGTGTGTGTGTGTGTGTGTGTGTGTGTGTGTGTGTTATATATATATATATATATATATATATATATATATATATATATATATATATATATATATATATATATATGACAGTGACTGTGTGTGTGTGTGTGTGTGTGTGTGTGTGTGTGTGTTTATCTTCTGTAAGGTAAGGGTTCCACTCCACTAATAATAAAATAAATAGAGTTGATTTAAACACAATACTAATTACATTAATATTGTTTAATGTGTGGTTTATTTGACAACTACAACAATTTTATGTTTTTTGTCTGTTTAAAACCCACCAAAATGCCTAATTTAGAAATGCGCTCATTACATCAGTTTATACTCCAGGCAATATTTTTATTTTTCATTTATTTGTAAACCTAGTTTTAAATCGTATTTCACTTCTTGTTCTTGCTTGATCCATCAAAATAATAATCATACTAGCCTATAGTTTAATCAGTTATGGCCTTACTTTTTTATTTTAAGGGCCTACTCACACTATGCCATCCGTACCGTGCCCGGGCCCGTTTCCTGGATCGTTTGAGAAGTTTGAGTGCGCTGAATCGGGCTCAAGCACGGTTCACTTGGCCGGCCCTGGCCTGGTTAGAAGAGGTGTGCCTGAGCGCGGTTCACTTGGGCTCACACACGCTTGTGTGTGAGTGCAAAACGCGCCAAAGCCCGAAACTGAAATCGAGACGTGACTTTTAAGGGACTGTTTCATATAGATTTATTAATCATTCTTACTGTTCAGTGAACGCAAACTGCCGTCGTTTATTAAACACCTCACTTCACGACAGCTGCGCGCCTTCAGCAGACCTCCTCATTCCTGGAGCACGAGAGCTTTATGATTGTTTATGAGCGCCAAAAGTGGCGGATCTGTACGGCGAAATATCTGACTGCGTGTCCCCGCATCCCTAAGGACTGTTTGGCGAAATATTTGACGGCATATCAAACGACTGAAACGATATAACTAGAGAAATCTCCACTGTGCTGCTGAGTGAGAGAGTGCTTCTCACTGAACAGCGCAGCAGCGAAGACGTAAGCGTGCCGAAGCCCGTTTGTGGTGTGAGCGCGGGCCGTCGGGGGAGACGGGAGGGGGGGGACAAGCGTGCTTTGGCCCGGTTCGAGGCAACCGTACCTAGTGTGAGTACGGCCTAAGAATGCTAAGTCTAAGAAGGGGGTGTGTGCATTTTACCACAGGGGAGCTTTTCTCGTCTCAACACCGGGACTGCAGTCAGAACATAAAGCAGATAAACGTTGATCTTTCTGTCGAGGTGTCAGTGCAGAAATGAACAAAACAATAGGCCTAATACAACATATAAGATTAAAATATGGAACAATTATCAGATGGTAACTTTTCCTAACGATCACACTTCCACATTGCAAAAACAGGTCAATATGAGGAAAAAAGTTGCAACACTAACAATGTAGATGAAAATAAAAAATACAAACAATAAATAAATATCCCTCAACTGACCTCCTTGCTTTACCTTCACTTCTGTGACACTTCTGTCCTTCTCTTGTCTTCCAGGCTAACAGAACCTGTCCTATTTGCCGAGCGGATGCATCTGAAGTCCAGCGGGATTCTGAGTGATGCTGCTCCCCAAACACACACACATAAACACACACACACACTCACACACTAAACACTTCTGTCATTCTCCTGTTATATTCAGTTAACTTCCACATGCATAATTACTCCTCGCACACAGATGACTGCTGCAAATGATTCGCCAAAACTTTGTTCATTAAAAAAAAATGTTTGATATTCATTGGCGAGTATCAGACTCACTGAAAGATAAACACACACACACACGCACACACAGACGTCCCTTCGGTTGTTCGGTTGAGTGGAAGTCCAAAGATTATGGTTCATATTATCATTCTGGTTATGTTCTGGTTCTGATATTGTTTTTCTTTGGTTTCTTTTTTTTTAAATGTATAAATATATATAGTTTAGTTCTCCCCTTTTGGGGGTGGGTGTTGGTATGTTGCAGTCTTGTGTGAATGAGTGAGCGTGTATGTGCACTAACATTCCCGGCTATGTGAGCACACTGTGGTGTGGTGGTCTCTTTTCGAAGGTTAATGTTGTGAGCATGGGCTTTTATATTTTACCAACAAATATAGCTATATATAAATATGTATGTATGTATCAATATAGAGGGACAAATTACAACTTTAAAAAAGAAAAAATAGGAAAAAAATGCAATTATGGAAGACTGTCTTTTTCCAAAAATGGAGGAAAAGTTTGCGACTCAAATTCTATCTATACAGAAAAACGGGCTTTTTGGGTGGTTCCTGCTCAATTATGATTTAGCATAGAATTGGAAAACTGTGAGGTGTGTGTGTGTGTGTGATTTGTGTGTGTGAGAGAGAGTGTGTGTGTGTGTGTGTGTATTATTAGAGAATCAGTTGTTTGTTATTTATCCCATATGTGTGGTACAGAACACTGGCTTTTCACTCTCACTTTTATTCTCGTCTGGGATTGGCTGACGATGCGCACTGACATGACATGTGATTGGTTTAGAGGGCAGTGGAATATTTTTGAGTTACTTAATAGATTTATACTGCTGCAGCCTTCATTTTTTTCCCAGTTTTGTTTGAAATCTTTCACGTTTTTGCTATCTTCATATAAAAAAAAAAACTGCTACTCCATTTATTAGCCAGACCTGCAGATTGATCATGTAGAAATCACCACTTTTAGCACTTAAAACTCCATAGTGTCCATTTTTATGAGTTGGTGGCTGTTATATTCGCTGTTAGGGTTTAGTTTGGTCCTGACATGTAAATTCTGTCATCATTAAATTATTCTTGTGTTGTTTCAGACCTGTAAGACCTTCTGTCATGTTTGAAACACATTAGAAGATAAATTTAATGCTATATGAAAGCTTTCATTTCTGACATGTTTGCTTTAAATCATTCGTGAAGCAATCGAAACAATAATCCATACTTGTAAATGTAAGGCTTTATTATATATTTTTGAAATTTATGAACATTATACAATAAATAAATATTTTTGTGCGTTATTTGCATATCGCGTGACACACATTAATTTCAGCAGTTCCTAATTTGACCCAATTTTAAAGCTGCAAAATTGTCTCCTGATTAACGTTTATATGCAAATAAAAGTCTAATTGTCCAGAAATGTAAATTGCTCATCATTTACTCTCCCTTATGTTGTTTCACAACCGTAAGACCTTCATTTTTGCAACTCATTAGAAGATATTTTTAATGATGTATGAAAGCTTTCAGTTCTGACAATTTAAAGTTTGCTTAAAATCATTCGTGAAACGTTCAAAAAAGTAATACATACCCGTTAAATATAAGGTTTTATTATATTTTTTTGGAAAGATATGAACATTATATAATAATTGACTATTTTAGCTGTTATCTGCATATTGCATGACACACAAATAATTAATTTTGAATAGCTTCAAATTTGACAAAATTTTAATGCTGCAAAATTGTCTCCTGATCAACGTTTATTTGCGAATAAAAGTCTACATTTTTCTGAAATATAAATTCCTCATCATTAACTCTCTCTTATGTTGTTTCAGACCTGAAAGACCTTCATCTTTGAAACACATTAGAAGACATTTTAAATGAAACATGAAAGCTTTCAGTTCTGACATTTCAAAGTTTAATTTAAACCATTCGTGAAGCGATCAAAACAATAATCCATACCTGCAAATATAAGGTTTTATTCAAATTTTTAAATACTTTTTTAAATATGAACATTAAACTATAAATTAATATTTTTTTGCTGTTATTTGCGTATCGCATGACAGGCACAAATTAATTTCAGTGGCTCCAAGTTAAACCAAGTTTAATGCTGCAAAATTGTCTCCTGATCAACATTTATATGCGAATAAAAGTCAACATTTTTCTGAAATGTAAATTCCTCATCATTTACTCTCCCTTATGTTGTTTCACACTTGTAAGACCTTCTTCTTTTAAACTCATAAGAGGATATTTTTAATGAAATATGAAAGCTTTCAGTTCTGACATTTCAAAGTTTAATATAAACCATTCGTGAAACGGTCAAAACAATAATCCATACCTGGAAATATAACGTTTTATTCGATTTAAAAATTATACAATGAAGGGATTTTTTTGAAGGGGGTTATTTGCATATCGCATGACACACACACACACACACACATTAATTTTAGTGCTTCCAAATTTGACCAAATTTTATTGCTGCAGAATTGTCTACTGATCAACAGTTATATGCAAATAAAAGTCTAATTTATTTCTGCTGATTGTATAAAGTGATCATGTTTTCTTCAAAGACTTAAATTAAACGGCTCCATTTATATTGATATTAACTTATCTCCTAATGCGTCTGGGTTTTTGAGTGAACTGTCAATATATGAGCAGAAATCTGCTTGGATTAAAATGTCTTCGTGTTCCAAATAAACATTAGAACAACGTAAGTGTCTGCAAATGATGACAGGATTTCATTTTGAGATGAACTTAACCCTATGTGTCCAAAAATAGCAATTCATCATTTTTAAGCCCAAGATCAGATATCAGTTTTTGCCTAAGAAGTGATCCATTCACCAGCTAACCTAGTAGATAAACACAGCTATCTCTGATTTAAAAAAAAAAATCATTATTTGATTTTGCATGCTTTAAAATGTAGTAATCAGAGCAAAAATATGCGTACATGCCCATTCAAAGAGGAGTTGTTATCATATTGTTTGCAATGTTTGCAGACTAAAAAAGGCTAATACAGATTGCAATGTTGTTAGTATCATTCCCTAAAGGCTCCTGGTTTTAGTAAACGGTTTCTTGTCGTTTAGTCACTGCCCTCACTATACAGTTAGCTTCTTTTTTTTATTGCTGTACTCAAACTGCCTTCCAGTGCACCCACTCATACAGCCTCAATAAGGCTGTTATAGCCATTCATAGCCATGTGCGTTACTTTATAATGAATGCCTGAGATGCGTTACGACCCAAAAGGGGGTGTTTGTTTGTTTGTTTGTTGGTTTGTTTTTATGTATGCTGTATGATGGTTTTACGTCCTGCATTGTTGTCATTATGAATGGATATAACTGCCTCTGCGTGGCATGACGTGGGCTCTATGACTGGTGTAGAAAGTGTCATATACTTGTGTGATTTTAGTCTCAGAGCCTGCAGTGTCTTAATGAGAGATGCCTTTAAACCATTCTCCAGTGTTGTCCGCTTTAGTGTCATAATCGAATTCATGACGACCACGAACTTATGAATTCTTTATTCTTTGCAAAAACAGACGTGCATTACTCTTACTTAACCATCGTCATTCTGTGTTATAGGAGGTTTTTTGTTTTGTTTTTCCCTGCTTGGTACAATAGCAGTTACCTCAGTTTTACTATTTATGTTTTTTTTTTTTCTTCTCTCTCCCCGTATTCTTTTGTTTTGCAGAAACCAATAAGAGAGCTTATGAATTCTCTTGCGTTTGTTTATTGGTTGTTTTAATTCTTACCATTAAAATACAATTGTATCATTTAACATGTTGTAGTTTCATATGTATAATATCTGTAACCAAAATCATTTGAAGGCTTGATATAAAAATTTTTAACAAACATTTGTACTTTTTATTATTATTATGAGAGATATTACTAGTAATGCTTTATTAAGTAGTGCATATGTTTTTGTTTTTTTCTTGTCTCTGACCCCTATTCCCAGTCTTATGGATTTTAAAGGGTGGCTCGGTAATAAATGTATTCTCTTCTTTGACCTTTTCTGTTCTTTACTTTTTCCATTCTTTTCTCATCTCTTCATCTCTGATGTCTACATTCTCAAGTCTGTCGGCTGGTTTAAAGTGGAAGTTCCCCCACAAATTAAATATGTACTCGCCATTTACTCACAGGTGGTTGCAAACTTTAAGTTGTCTTCTGTTGAACACAAGAGATGATAAACAAATACTATGTAAGTCGATGGTTACGGATTTTGTTTCCCCTCAACATTCTTCAAAATATCTTCTTTTGTTCCGAACAGAGATAAAAGCCTCAAATGTGTACTTGACAAGTGAAGCGAGTAAATGTTGACAATATTTATTTGTGGGTGAGCTTTTACTTTAAATGAATTTTCCACCCCGAAATGACAGTTGATTTACTTTGATTTTGTATTCATTTCTAACGTAAAAGACAAAGGAAACGCTTACAGCAGAATGTGCTTTAGGTGTGTGGGCTTTATTTATTTATTTTAGATGTTACAAAATTTATTAATAATTGATTTTAATCAATTTATTCATTCTTTCAAACTATTTTGTATTTGTTCAAATGAATAGTTCACTGAATCATTGGCACAAATGATGAAGTCAAACATTTTATTCCGAGGAAAATCGAAATAAAACAAGCCTTGCTCTGGGAAGCACAAATGTGCCGTTTTCTGGCTTTTAAGCAATTTTTTATTGACAAACAAAACAAAAGCTTGTTACTTAATTACTCTTAACCTCACAGAACTGTTTTATAAAACCTAAATTACATTTGCAATTGGTCACAAACCGATATTTGGGAAATATTTGGGTGTGTTTGCAGACTTGTGTATAATATTAAACTGTTATTTCACCCAAAAAATGAAAATGCTCAATTACTCCCACTCATGTAATTCCAATCCCGTAAGGCGTTCTTTCATCTTAAGAACATAAAAATAAAATGTTTTGGATGAAATCTGTGAGCTGACAGCAGCAATTCAAAAACTATAGAACCAAAAAACATTCCACATGTCTTCAGTGGATCAGTCAGAATATTATGAAGGTATAAGAAAAAATTAAGGGGGGAACTTAAGACAAAAAATATGACTTCATTTATTAGTATTTCTCATCAGTGTCAGTATATTGTGCACATTTATGAGCATTGTGCATTGATGTATACCCACATGGGTGTATTCGAGATTCACAGTGCCTGAAATTAACACAGCCTATACTGACGCTGAGGAGAAGAAACTATTAAATAAAGTCATTGATTTTGTTTTATGTCGAAAATATTCATGTAGATTAATAACAATATTCTGATTGAACCACATGAAGAAAAATGGACTGTTTTGAGGATGTTTTCTGGACTTCACTGTCTACTTAGGATGAGAGAGCTCCGATTAAATCTAAAATATTTTACGTGTGTTTTGAAGATTAACAAAGGGTTTGGTACAACTTGAGGGTGAGTAGTTAATAGCAGAATTTTTATTTTTGGGTGAACTAACCATTTAAATTGGATAATTATATTAATAATAAGGGATAAATATAATTGCATTATTGCTAAGTTGTGATAGATGTCATATGGCAGTTAATACAAAGCGCGTTTTTTTTTTTTTTTTTTTTGCTTTTGCTTTTTGAAAAACATCCTTGGTAATGTCTCCTCACACATTATTAAATAAGCAATTGTGATTTTATTGTAGTAGATTATAAATATTGCACAGCCATTTGTCCTAAGTTACTGCTATAAACACTTTATAAAGGAAAGGATTTCAAAGGATAGTCAGGATTTCAGAGAATAACAAATTGAAAGAAATTAAATCCTTCACATCTTTCTGTCCTCTTGTTACCATCCATTAAAAAAAAAAACGCTCAAACATTTAAAATAAAACGCTCAAACATTTTGACTGTTGTTTCAAACTGTAGACTTAAAGCAAAAGAAGGTGCTATGGATGCTGTAGTGGATTATAAGGATGACATTACACTTGACATTTCTACAAAAGCACAATTCAGCATATAACATGTGCAAAAATTCTGCAGATTCACATTCAGATTTCTTTCTTTTTGCTAAAGATCACACTGATCGTCTCCTGACTGCACGTCTTCACATAATATGTAATTGCAGGTCAGAGTTCACCAAACTCCAAATTTGCACAGGCTTGCATTTCTTGCCTCATTTTCTTTGTGTAGCATGACCACTGAATGAATGCTGACTAAAGTTGCATTTTGATTGAATTGATTAACTTGGAAACAAGAAATACACTAAAATATTCAAGCGTAACATTTCAAATATCACTCAAAAGCAGAATACAATTATTCAGATGCCATATTGTTACATTTTATTGGGTAATTAAAATTAAGGGGATAGTTCACCACCTTCCATTTTTATGGACAGAATTTCTAAGTGCAGCCCTGGGTCTAAAACTCTAACCCTGGGCTGGAGGGGGTCCGATTTAGGGACCATAGAAATGATTGTTATTCACCGATGATGTTGTTCTGTTGGCTTAATCCGACATGGACCTTCAGCATGGACTGGAGCTGTTTGCTTTTGAATGTGACACGGCTGGGATGAGAATCAGCCCCTCGAAGTCCGAGGTCATGGTGCTCCACTGGAAACAGGTGGCTTGCCAACTCCAGGATGGAGAAAAGTCTTTATCCTAGGTTTAGGAGTTCAAGTATGTTTGGGTTTTGTTCACAGGTTGGGGAAGGATGGAAAGTGAGATTAAAGGCGGATCGGTGCAGCAGTAATACGGTCAATGCTCAGCTGAAAGGCAAAGCTCTTGATTTATCTGTCAATCTACGTTCCTACTTTCACCTATGATCATGAGATTTAGGTCATGACCGAAAGGATAAGATCTTGGATACAAGCGGCTGAAATGAGTTTCCTTCGCAGCGTGGCAGGGATCGGAGTTGAGTCGCTGCTTCTCCACATCGAGAGAAGTCAGCTGAGGTGGCTCGGGCAATCTGTTTTGGATGCCTTGGCAGGTGTTCCAGGCATGTCCCACCGGGAGGAGACCTATGTGAAGACCTAGGACACGCTGGAGGGACTATGTCTCTTGGCTGGCCTGGAAACGCCCCGTAATCCGTCTGGAGGAACTGGAGGAAGTGTCTGGGGAGAGGAAAGTCTGGGGTTCTCTCCTGAGACTGCTGCCCCCATGACCCGGCCCCGGATAAGTAGAAGAAAATGAATGAATATAGTTCACCCAAAATAAATCGCCTTTTCCAACATTTTCTGTTCAACATTCAACAGAATAAAGAAAATCATTTAAGTTTAAAACCACTTAAGTGTGAGTAAATTTGAAACACCTATGAAAAACAGAGCTTTATATATACTTTTTTGCCACATAAAAGTATGTATGCAGATGTTACAAATGCAAAAGGTTTGTTGGCATAAAAGCACAGAATGTTATCCAAACACAGAATTACCGTACATACTTTTTTTTTTTTAAGTGTAACTACTTAATAGCAAAAAAAAAAAAAAAAATGTATATACCACATTTCTTTCTCTGTGCAGTTCAGTGATGAGTTCATCTCTTGTTGAACAGAGTAAAGGTTTGCTGGACGATGTGTTAAAGACACTTAGAGGAAATCATTTGCTTGAAGTAGTAACCTGGAGAGTGCAGCTCCTCTGCTATGGCAAGACGCATCTCCTAAACTGGTGTAGGAAAATGAATACGAATGCCTGACTTTGATAACAAACTTGTTGCGACATTCTCATGCAATGTTGTCATTATCATCACTGCCTTCAGGAATTGGTATGTATACAAAATTACACAAATGTTGGGGGAAAAAAGTAAAAGTTTATTTCCCCCTTCAAAGGTTTATTTTTTTCTTGATAGTTTCGTATTTAGCTTTTTCTCAAGTCAACATGCTAAAGATCATGAATAAACATTTGAAAGGGGGTAAATAAACCTTCAGTTTAGCATTTTCTTATTCCCTCAACATTCATGTTATTTATTTGATTACCTGCCCGCACTATTCATTATTGAAATAATTATTTATGCAAGAATTTGTGGATTTTTATATATCTTTATTACTTTATTTGTATATTTCTTTATTTATGCAGAGATTTGTGGATTTATTTACTCATTTATTTATATATTTGCGTGTTTATTTATTTATTGTTTTTGCAGGTTTCGTCCTCCATACAGAGCAAGGGTGTAGAATTAGCATGGACGGAGGGGACGTGTCCACACAAATATCCACAGTTATTAAAATGTCCCCCAATAATTTAATGGCTTCCAAAATAAAATAATTCTTTGTTGAAATATTCCAGTCAGGATTACTGTGCAAGACTCAGGTGAGACATGGACATAAGCTATATTTCAAAGAAAAGTGTGAGTGAAAATTGAAGTCAGGTTCACTACAAGTCTACTATAATAGGAACCATGGATGTGCAATTAATAATAATAATAAAAAAAAATGTTTTCTATTTTGGCCTCCACGACGATTACGAAAAAACAACAATCGAGATAAAAAGGTTATTGTGTCATATGCCTCCCCCTTTCCAGAAGTCTGCATTCTGCAAATCATTTAAATTTACTATCAATTTGCATCATAAGACATGCTTTATTTAATGTTGTTTTATGACTAATTATATTGGATTAATTAATTTATTTATTTAAGCTTTTTTAAAGTGCAAATTGAACATGTGCTGTTCTGTTTTCATGTTCAGAGAAAGAAAAGAACATGGACATGTAAACTCATCTTTTAGCTTAAAGTGCATAAATGTCATTATTATACTTGCAAAAAGGTGTTCAGATGCGGTGGTAAGTGATTATGCGCAAATAAGCCCTCAGTAAACGGAAGTCTTTATTTAACTACCTTTTAGTCAGACATTTTTTTAACTTTACATTTTAAAAGTGAAGTTACATTAACATTTGGTCGATGTCAAAGTCGGTCCCCACCAGTATCAAAGGCGAATACGCCCTTCCCAGATAGCAAAATACACTCGGGCCAGTTCCGGCTACACTCTAAAAAGGAATGTGTTGAAAACAACACAACATGTGTTATTTTCAACACATGTCCTGAGTGTGCTCAGGGACAACACATGTTGAGTTAAGTTTAACACACAAAATGTGTCATAAAATGTAACACATTAATGTGCAGCATAAGTTGACACACAGATGTGTTATTTTTGTATGTGTTTAACACAACTGTGTGTTACTATTCATTTTTTGTAATTTTAAATGTAAAAAATATTATAAATGTAAAATCAATATACAAAATCTCACAGGAAACATTAAACACTGTTCACATACTGTTTAATTTTCCCAAATGCATTCAAATGTTTTACAGCAATTCATTGTACATAATATAAAAACTCACTTTATAAAAGTATTCATTAAATTGAACTCGTATCTGTTACGCATGCCAATAAAATGTCAAATATGTATGAAACATATCCATTTTCAAAATTATTCTCTAGTGAAAGAAATTAATAACCATAGCACACTGATTATACATTCACCCACATGTAAGGTGCTTGTCTTAACAAAATAAATCATTGTCAAATATAGTCAAAACACTTCAAACATTTAGGTAACCCTTTATAGTAACGACACAATATAAATTATTTATTAAGCATTAGCAAGTACAGTAGTTGATTCACTATTTGTTAAGCATTAAATCTACATTATAAGATATTAGTAATGGGTTTCTAAATACAGCTACAAAGGCTGTTTTCTTGACTTATAAGCACATTTATAATGTGCCTAACAATTGTACTTTTATAATTCATACTTTCAAATACAAATGGTTTGTAAATAATGCAGTCCTTAATTTAGTAGTGAAAAAATAATCAGAAGCAAAGTGTGAAGGTACAATTATTAAGCACATTAAACATTTACTTATAAGTCAAGAATACAGCATTTGTAAACCGCTAATGTCTTATAATGTAGAGTTAACGCTTTACAAATTAATGAATTCACCATTTGCTAATGCTTAATAAATGATTTAAAGTGTGTAGTTATTATAAAGTGTTACCAAAGTTTCAATCACTAACATGTTTAAAACAATATTTTGTATTTAGGAGATACATACTGCTGATCACAAAATGACAAAATGTCTAGAGGTCTGTAATCTATTAAGTCCCCAGGCAGCAAAGCAAAGAGAAAACGATTTGTTCTGATGACACTGAAGAAAAAAATATGTTCATCAAAATACTTAACTCTTAAAACTCTCGTTCCCTGTGTGTCCTGACTCTTCAGAAGGGCATGAATTAATTTTAAAATGATCTGTTGAGATGTTTTAAAAAGGAATTTAAATTATGATATGTTCTAGGGCAACGATTTTGACTACAAATTAAAGTTAGGTTGTGACTATCAGAGAGTGCATGCATTTCCCTTAAATGCCAAATTACAAAATCATTTTAAAGACACTTTGGATAGGTGTACATGCTTATTTCAATTAGGTACAAGACTGCACCTTAGCAATTAATTCCATGACCTTTAATCGTGTGCAAGATGACTGGGACAAGGACAAGTCATATATATATATATATATATATACTCAAAAAAAAAAAAAACAGAAGACAGTTGGCATGGATACTGAAAATTGCACAGCCAGAAGAATTTGAAAAGTCTGTCTACAGCACAGGTCAGGCTTTCAGGATCGAGTGGAAGAGCAAAAGAGTCATTCTTTGCCACAGCTACAAGTACACGTACACGTACAAGGATCCATGTCCTAGACAACCAATAGAAACCAACTGCGGCTGAGCTGACTTCAGGGTCCCTTTCATGGATTCAGTGAGCAAAGATGTAACGGTGGTACCAGCCTTCAGGAATGAAACAATAAAAAGCATAAGAAAATGTTGCTGCATTAGAAACATTTTATTTATCATAAGCTAAACCAATAAAAACTATACCGGCACTTGCTCCAACAGGTAGGACACAGCAGAAGTCACACAGCATTTACTCCCAGCAACACTTCTCCCAGAGGCAGTGGGTGGAAGAAGATGAATAAGGATCTTTAACAGTTTAACAGCTCATCTTGAAGTGAAGATACAGGTCACATGCAAAATAAGAATTTAAACAAAATATATTAGAAATTAATATCTTTAATAGAATATTAATATTCACATTAAGTTTTATCTTTTAAACTATTTTTAGAAAAGTGTGCACATGCAACAGATATTTTGGCTGAAACTCATACCATCATGCTGATTGTCAGCCATCTTCAGTAAGAGTCTGATGTCAATATTCTTCTCCAAGATGCTATTTCCTTGAGTTCTGGAATTATCGTCCCTTCCCTTTTCTGGATAAACAAGTCTTCGTTCCTATCTGTGAGCTTGGAAAATTCAATGTCCATCTTTAAAGAAAGAAAGAAATCAGAAACAAAGAAATATTAATATTACAATTATGAAATAAATGTCTGTGTAAAGTTCTGTCTTAGTTGAGCATGTCTATTACCAAAGCTGGCATGTCAAGAAATCTGGGATAGTCCTTGAAGATTTCAGCAAGAGATTTTGAAGGGATTTTGTTGTTATCCATCTTCTTCTGTAACTGAAGGTTTGATTGATTGCAGTCTTTATTGATGATAAATTGTCTGGTCGCATCTTCTTTATCAGAGACAACAACTCACTTGGTACGGTTTCATCTGGACTTGGTGAAGAAGGTTGCGGTGTACAATGATGATGTTTTAAACTGTACACCCACTGGCTCTGTTGAAGCTTTCGTCTGACTGTGTGATGGCCTAGCAAAAAAAAAAAAATCCTCCTGACATTAGTAATGTAAAAACAGAACTAATGAAAGTCAAATAAATGAGCAACTTATATACACATTCCTAATAAATTCAGTTTATAATGTAAAAACATTCTTACATTCTCATGTCCCTCATTTTCACCAAAGGGCACCTGAGGGGAACAATGACAGAATCTCTTTTGCTAGTACCAGCTTTTCTATACCAGAAGGATAGCTAAAAAAGTAAAAAACAAATACAGTTGCATAAATTGCTTATACACAAACATTGACAAACAAAAAATTGACTAAACAGTGGTACTTCAGAATTGATTGGGATAAATTGTTAAATGTATTTATTTAAAATATTTTTTAAATGTAGAATTTATTTTAATATATAACTTATTTAAATAAATGTAATTTATTTAATTTGCAAATAAATACATCTTACATGAAATAAACAAACCACATACTCACAATCCATGTTTCTCTACAAGGACACTGACAGCAACTTTTTGACAGTCTTCATGTTCTCTCAGGATTGAAGAGGCTTTTCTTCAAGCAGCGTCAGCAAACTAGTTGTGTTGCCAGTCTGAGTTGAATCTGTTAAAGGACACTAAGAAATGCCAAAACATTTTATTTATTTAAATGTTTACGTTTATCTATAGTAATATAAAGGGAGAAATATATTAATGTTTTACCTGCACACTTCTTTCTAATGAGTCCGGGGTGTTGCTTGCAATATAATATATTTGAAATTTGCCAAGCTCCTTTACTCCTGCATTTACATCAGTGTCAATGAACTTGAAAATCTGTCAAATTTCAATATTCAATCAAAAGATAGTTGAGACCTGTTTGACTAAGGCTATCAGATCTCCAACATTGCCATCTGTGAATAGTTTTCTCCATATTTCCTTTCTGTCTATGAAGACAGTTGCAAGAACGCGGTGTAATTTGTTCCTCGACTTCCATCTCCTAAGAGAGAAATTCATACAGCACAATGAGAAAACAAACACCTGTAACTGTGTATGACAATAAAAAGTACACTTTTAAATAGTATGCGACTAGTAGGGTACCACAAAATGGCGCGCAAAATTGAGTACATTAAAGATCTTCATATTTTAGCTATTGTTTATGAATTTGCTCACACCTCGGCGCCATTTGGTGTCTGTACAAAGCACCCAACTAACGTTACGACAAGGGATTTATGTTTAAATTCCTGCCGCAGAGCTTCATATAAGGTTATATATTAAATAACCTTATGATAATAACGTAACGTTAAATGCATAAATTATATCTGGTAGCGTTACCTCGAGTGTCAGAGACGCAGAGGCTTTTTAAAGTGACGGCAACTCTTACACCAAAATGCAGTACATATTTAGGGTAAGTCTTTCGCCTTATATGTAACTTATTATTAACAATTCTGCCAAGTGCCAACGCAGCTTTACAAAAGACGCGCCAGATGCGTTAGCTTGCGCGGCTAAAGTTAATGTTACATGACAGAGTTGCCAAGTCCCGTGTATCAGGAGTACGAAACATGAAAACATAATAAAAGTAACAAAAATAACTTCTTGGTCAACTAACACAAAACATTCTCACGCAGAGTGGAAGAAATATTTACTATCGTAGACGAATTTTAATGAATTTCACTCACCTGAGGCAGAGAGGTGCGTTATCCGATAGAGCTCTGGGAGAGCGTCAGTTGAAAAAGAACGTCACTGCGCATGCGCGTGCAGAAATTCACAGTATAAACCCCGAAATATAGAATTTTTAGCCACATACTCACAAATGCTTATTTTATATTACCATCATGATAAATAAACTACATAAACTCATAACACAGTGCCATTTGACTACAGGCAAAAATGCATTGTATTCCAACATACTGTTTAAATGTGTTTAACACAGTCAATGTGTAAACAGTTAAGCACAATATTAACACACAATGTGTCCGTAGTAACACAAAATGTGTTACGACCTGTTTAACACATATTTTGTGTAAATTTTTAACACATCACTTTTAAGAGTGTAGATTGTCGCCTGCCGAAGACTTACCCCTCGGCCCAACTCCGGCTGCCGGACTCGGGCCGGATGCCTGTGGACTCACTGCCCGATTCCGGCCCGAATCAAGCGGGCCAGATGCGGCGGCCGTAAGCGAGCCGACGCTGCGCATCCGCGCCGGAATCGGCGCGAGGGTAATGTGCGCTGCGGCCCGGAGCTGGCGCGACTCCGTTTTTATACACCTTATAAAACCTTTTGGTATTACATTGGTACTTAATATATGGTATTACAACCATTTGAATTTATACAACAGCAAACACAGGCTATAATGTAAACACAAAGTGTAAGCACTGTGTTTAACCTTTGAATAAAGTGCAAACTGCATACACATTCTGTAACGAAAATAATCAGACAAATGACAAAATAAATAAATGTTAAACGTTTATTAATTGCAAGAAAAAAATAGTACTAAAATTGTATAAATAATTTTGTAGTGCACAAGAATATCAATATAAAAACAACAATAAAACAACACATTAAAGACACACAGAAAGATTTAAACAAAAAATCTAAAAATTACACACAAACACAGATGTTTTTAAAACAACCCTGTTTTCCCAATAGACTTAAATTAAAAATTTGTACAAACAGCTAAATTTTATATAAACCTAAATATAGAAACCAATTTAAGATATAACAAGAAACATCTTAAAAATACCAATGACAATCCGTAAAATATCCAAGTCAAACTTGTAAAAAGTACTGCAGAATTCTGAAGAAACATCTTGAAACATTTTTTAATAAAACATTAAAATAATAATAAACAAACAAACAAACAAATATATATATATATATATATATATATATATATATATATATATATATATATATATATATATAAATAATTGCAGAAGTATAAAGTCAAACTTATTTTTAAATAAACTTGAACAAAATCAATTGCACAAACAGCAAGACATGAGTGAGATGATTATACATTTCATATATATACACGTCTTGTGCAATTTTATATTTATAATTTTATTTGTATTACGTTTATTCAAAATGTATCAAGATGTTTCTTCAGAATTTGGCGCACACACATACATACATACCTACATACCATACATATATACACACACACATACACACATATATATACATATACATATATATATATATAAATGCAAATGAAAGAAACAAATTGTTCAAGTATCAGGGAACATCCTAATACACTTAAAATGTTGTTTAAAAAATAAAACAAAATAGTGATGTAGACATTTGACACATTAGCTTTCTCTTCTTTCTTCCTCCATCCCTGTCAGGGGCAAGTTGTAGCTACCTTGTAATGCATTTTTCCACTTCTTTATCAGTGGCGTGGTATGGACATTTGTCCTCACTCCATCTGTGATTAAAAGATAAACAGATAATTAGTAGTGAACAAGTACTAATGTAAAAAAAAAAAGAAAAATTAGGAAAAAAGTAGGCTACCTACGAAGCAAAAAAAAACAATAAAAAAAAACAAATAAACTTAAAACACTTTGAAATTAGCAAGAGCTTGAACTTACCAGTTTCTTCATTTGTTCGGGCTGCTCCTTTAGTTGATTTTCAAGCTTTTCCAAATCAAATTGGCCAAAGGAAGGTCAAATGTGTTTACATCTGGAATTTTATCACGTCTGTTTTGGTTTTGTGAGAATCAGGCCCAGCTGCTGCTTTATGACGTTGCATGATTTTAAAACTTCAGTCAGTCGTGCTAAAAAAGAAAAATAACAGATTAGTATAAATCAACCTGTAGCTTATTCTCATACAACTTCTGTAAATACAACAGTGGGTTAGACACTGCTGATATTCTCTAGTTGATCTTTACTTTCTAGCTGCATTAAACCTTAACAAATTTAGTGATGTCTTCAATTCTTACAAAGACATCACGAGATGCAATAAGTTCTGTCTTGATCTCAAACTGCACTAGAACAAAGACTGTAAATGTTCATAGGTGTACTGCAGGAGTGTCCAAACTTTTTGGGCCGAGGGCCAGATGCAAAAAAACAAACGTTGTCGCGGGCCAAATTTTACATACATCACACAGACACACACATATATATATATATATATATATATATATATATATATATATATATAAATGCAGTTGAAGTCAGAATTGTTAGCCCCCCTAAATTATTAGCCACCGTTTATTTTTTCCCCAATTTCTGTTTAACGGAGAGTTAAACATTTTTTTTCCACACATGTCTAAACATATTAGTTTTAGTAACTCATTTGTAATAACTGATTTATTTTATCTTTGTCATGATGACAGTAAATAATATTTGACTAGATATTTTTAAGACACTTCTATACAGCTTAAAGTGACATTTAAAGGCTTAACTAGGTTAATCAAGTTAACTAGTCAAGGTAATTAGGCAAGTTATTTTATAACAATGGTTTGTTCTGAAGACTTAAGGGGCTAATAATTTTGACCTTAAAATGGTTCATAAAAAAAATTAAACCGCTTTTTATTCTAGCCGAAATAAAACATAAGTCTTTCTCCAACATCATTTGGGAAATATTTAAAAAAGAAGAAATAAATCAATGAGGGGCTAATAATTCAGACTTCAACTGTGTGTAGACAGACAGACAGACAGACAGACAGACAGATAGATAGATAGATAGATAGATAGATAGATAGATAGATAGATAGATAGATAGATAGATAGATAGATAGATAGATAGATAGATAGATAGATAGATAATAACAAGAACTGCTGCTTAATTGAATGCATGTAATAGCGACACCCGGTGGTTATTTATTGAATTACGTTCATTTTTGTATAGCGGGCCAGATTCTATTGATATTTATAAAAAGCCTCGCGGGCTGCAGATGGCCCGCGGGCCGTAGTTTGGACACGCCTGGTGTACTGGAATGTACAATATCTGTGCATCTTCATGGTGGTCTTAAGATTTCTGCCATAGTCATTGATGGTGATGGTACTTGTGATGCTGCATTGATTTCTGAAATCTTCATACCTGCCTTTTATCCAGCCTCTTTGTTCCAAGTAATTTTTCTTCATCATGGTATAGATGCGTCTATACTGTCCCTTGATCAGATACATTTACAAAACAAAACATCACTTTAGTATAGTGCCAGGGCAAAACTCACAGGTTGTAATAGATCAATGACAATGTTGACAGTACGTGTTTAAAATAATTGCAAACAAACCTGTTCTGTCTTGAGATGTATGACAGGCAATCATCGTCCTCATCTGTCTACCAGTCAGAAATCACAGTTGCATGTGGATGTTTTAGTCGAGCTTCCTCATATGCATCTATAATAAAACATCACATTGTTGTTAACCTCCCGTAAAGAAAAGTTCAAATCCTGAAATACTATCAAAGTTAATTAATGCATATAATACCTATAGTGTAAATAATCAGTACACAGAAGGTTGCACAAGATTTATTCGGAGATTCATGCAGAGTGACAGCCTTATGAATCTGAGACATAGATTTGTAAGATGGTCAAGCACATGCATTATTCTGTACCCATGAAGATTAACCTACCATTGTGAAAAATGTTTGATGATGATAGCCAATAACAATAAACCATTTCAGCTGTTTGTGAAGCAATTAGTAATGTAATGTCTGAAAAGCTCAATCTATGTTGAAAATGTATCAGCAGTTTACAGCTTATAATGGACTTTTAGCACACAACTATAGCATGCCTATTCACATGTTCATAAGAGTGTGCCATTGACTTCTTTGGTCGTGATGTACTGCAAAATGATCTCACTAACCTTTGTTAAACAAGAACAATGAGACTTAACCAACAAATATTGTTACCCATTCATTTAAATCAGAATTTATCACCGTCAATAACATAAAAAACAAACAAAAAACATCAAAATCTGCTTTAAGACGTTCAGTTTTACATTAACTGGCCATTACAGCTTGAACAAAAGATATAATTGATTCACATAGGCTAACACATATGAATTAAAGTGCATAGTAATATATTTCTCTTGGATAATTTGAAGAGAATAGTAAACAGTCGAGTTTCGATCATTTTCGTGACTAACTGCATAAACAAGATAAACAATAATATTTTATTAATCCAAAACGATTAGTTTTTATTTACACAATCACAGAATTAATACTGTTGGATAAGTAAACGCCTGTACAATGATTTTTTCAACATCCACGGTACTTTATAATGTTAAATCAGGAAAAAACACGTTGCCATGTTAGTTAATGGATTCGTCTACAGAAACTTTCTTTAACGCAAAGTTAGCATACACACAAATTCGTTTCATGTTTCTTTAAAATAATTAAAATAGTTTTCAGTTACTACACACGTTACAATCTAACATTGTGTTAAAGGAAAAGGAACTTTCAGGCGTGTTTGTAACTGTTAGCGTTAGCATACATTAGCTCCAGTCGTGTTTCTTAAAGCAAGTTACATTTCGTATCAAACTGTTTTAAATTACTAAACGCTGTTACAACCAAACACCGTGGAAATGTTTTAAGCTCTAAATTCGCTAATTATACAGTACACAAGCAGTAAAAAGCTTACCTTTCTGACCGGAATTCACGTGAAGTCTTTAAAAAAAACAAACTTTTTCTTCTTGTGATCTTCGTGCCATGGTGGTTGACAACCAGCTTTTTGGAGCATTACCGCCACCGTCTGGATTGGAGTGTGGATCATGAGTTTAGTCACGCATGTGTTTATTATGAAACCAACTTCTGCTTTAAAACAAAAACAGTCAGCACAGGAGCGTGCTATCTCAAAAATAAGCGAATTTTACATAGTTTTTCTCTAGATGACATGTATAATCTATTTATAAATAATATTGTTTTGTTTGCGTCTAAACATTGCGAACATCCACACTAAATATTCTTTTTTTTTTTTTTTTTTGCTATCATACCATGAATATTTTCTCAAATTATCATTAAACGTGGAGCTAACAGATTACTAGATAAATAAAGGACTTAATCGGTTGCCATCAGCCT